ATAAAATATATTACATCTGTGCAACATGGTATGACAACTGTAGATAATAAAACACACCACATCGTGAAATGAATATTTCAAGTTATGTAATTTGATACAGACTTCCATGCTCACACAAAACATTTTATCTACCACACCGCCTACACGTGATATTACAAATATAAGGTAAGAATTCTTGCATTGTACTCGTTTAGTTTGACGATAACTGGCTATTGATTTTTCGGCGTTTATGGCCATGATCAAAGTATTCTTATAGATCTTATACTAGTTCCATTAAATAACCATTTTTATGTAGAACGTAAGATCAAATGCCATAAATATCATGAGTCATCAATCTAAAGTTGAAATAAATATTTACGATGTCTGTAAGGAGGTCAAATCAATGAAATAGGATATTTCTTCAGTCAGTTTCGTCAACAAATGTACCTTTTCATAGCCCATCATGTGGCAAGGAAGCCCTGATGGCATCATGATAGTTTCATTTGTACAAGTTCCTTTTTTATGCACAGTAATGACACGTGATTTAATTTTGTTTGCTGGTACACACATTCTGGATGATAAAAAAGTCACTTTTGTGAAGCAGTGTTTGATATCCGACCATTCTAAAAATAGGCATTTCGAGAGTTGTTTCTGCGTTGAAGAACGCAACAGTGTACGGAAACATGCTACTCTACAAGCATTGAAGAGCTCCTGAAAACGTTGACTTAAACCTTACTTTTTCATGTTTTCGATTTACTATCAAGTTAATTACGATAATGTTTTCTGGGACAGACACCGCTGCACTATGGCAACACGATCACATGATAGGATTAATAAGACGATCTCTTTAAGTGCATACTCAAACCGAAGACTTCTAGCTTGATTTTTTCTTGTGTCAATAAGATGTTCATGGACATTGTGACATGAGTTGACGTTGGCTTGTTCAAGCGTCTTTGACAACTTGTGTGCATTCAGAGGTGCTAGAAATTCCCCTTTGTACATATTCAACATAAGAGGGTTAATGTAGCTAATCATCATAAATCAAACTCATTATTTTAATAGTTCAACAGGGTCAAAAGTACTGCATCATCTAAAGGCAATGAAAGAAAAGCCTTAAGATGTTTATCGAACTTCGAGCACAGCAGGGTATTACCATTGCCTCTTTATGATGAAGTGTCCCTTTAATTCAAAATGCTGCAACAATTTACATAAGCTTTAAACTGGGCACGCAATGACACTCACTTGTGAGATGAAAAAGAAATATGGCCTTGGTGAGGTCGGCAGAAACCTTTGATGTAATGCGACTAATAAGTTCTTAATCCTCCTACAGAAAGTTGGTTTCTGGGTTTGAGGCAGCTTATTAGATCGGGTGCTCCGAATCGGCGACTTGTTTGATGTGAGTCGTCATTTGACCCTGGCTCGTGATATTATTCAAAAGATGACGGTCAAGCCTTTCTTATTTGCAGACATTCGAATGCGTTTTACAGCTGCCTTTCTGCTGAATGTAGCGTAAAAAACAATAGAACAGATGACCCGTTCCACTAGGATGAAGGTTTACTTGTGCCGACGAGGCTTTCTTTGAAAAAAAACATTGTGTTTTTACAGTGAACTATATACTTATTATAAGTAAGTTTCGCAAATGTTGAGGGTGCTTGAGATAGCGTGTTTACAATCAGAAACTATGGATCGAGATTCGGTTCAGAATCATTAGGCAATGGTGTCAGGTCAGTCAACACCGGATTCTTCAATTCCAATATATTGTTGTTTTTGTAGACAGAATTATTGTATTTAGTATCATCCATCCAAGCTTAAATGATCACAATATCGTTGTAATGAAATTGCGAGCAGACCATTTTTTCAACCTAGATACATCCTCGTTTAAATTGACATGTTTTATCGGTGGACGCAGGGATTCACTTTTTCCGTATACAGATTCTGGGACTTTTGTTAGGTTGAGTAAAGTCCGGAACACACTCTGAGATGTGTAATCTCAAATATAACACATGTTACAATTGTGTATTCATGCTCTTTGGCCTTGGGAGCCGTTTACACTTGCAAGAGGGGTAGACAAAGCATCTACTACAATATCTTTCAAAGCCGCTGTGACTGATTTTAGGCGCTGGTTGTTATGTGGGTTCGAATTCTGCATGGACTCAACCTAACACAAGACCTGGAATCTGTAGTTTAGTTAGAATGTGTAATCAGGTTTCTTTTTCTTTCTGATCAAAATACTTTCCTTCACGCAAGTTTGGATGACTGACTGTTTGATCATTGAGTTAATCTTGTTGGCAGTGTCGTTCAAATCTAATTCGATATCCCATTCTCATATTCCTCGATTTGGAGGATCTTCAGGCTGTGTCAAGCATGCAGTTGTGTCCCTTTTCTTGGCAGCTAAGGAAGGTAAATGTCCATATTTGATGGTGGCTGCAAATGAAACGCGGAAGACATGGTGATGACATGGATTACACATTTGTGTTTTGGACCTAAATTGTGCAGTGTCCCGGTGTTTTCTTTGAATGAGTGAGTGAGTGAGTTAAGATTTAACGTCACATCGGCAATATTTCAGCCCTATCGTGACGAGAACATATTTGACATTGAAATGAAACATGTGTATATCATATAAAAACAACTAGAATATCACAATTAGAATTAAAACTAGCGAGGAAAGTTAAAATTAATATCACTATTTGGACAATACAATGTAAAAACAGATCGCCAAAAACTGAAGATAGATCACCATACTGGGGACCATGGTGTTTTCTTTGAGTCTACTACTGACTGACTGACTGAGTTTGGTTTTACGCCGCTTTTAGCAATATTCCAGCAACATCACGGCGGGGGACACCTGAAATGGGTTTCACACATTGTACTTTGAGTCTACTAAAGTGTGGGTAACCTTTGTAATTGTTGGGTGAAATCCAGTTTTCACTATCTGCTGTTATCTTCATTCCTGTCAGTTTAGACTTTATTTTATTTTAAAAAGGATTTATTTACTGTTTTCACTTAATGAATGTGTGGTCATAAACTTGCGGGAATATAATGTCATCGATTAGCAATAGCAGGCGATCATTCATGTCCATAATTGTACCAAGGCTTGTTAATGATTTTTGTATATGTATTTTCTCAACACAACGAGTTCTACCTATTTGTACTGATGTATATTGGAAAGGAAAACAATATTATTGGGATAAGTACAAATCTCTAGTGATTTGGAAAGACATTGATCAGTGGCGGATCATATTGCCTCTTCCGGCGCTATTACTTCAGAAAACGCTTCGCTGTTTGGCTGTATCGCCTTCTCTAGAGACAGCTTTTATGTTAAAACGATTATTGTCTAAAGTATTCTTGCAGATTTATTTTATGGGAAGTACGATTTATTACCATTAAGAATAAAAGTATTCAAGTCAATCATTTGCAACCTGACCTACTCGTTCGTTATAAACGTCTTCTGTTCTGATTTCTGTACATTACATGTGAGTCATCGCAAGCAATTCCATAAATTCCCATTTTGTTGAACGTAATCACACAGTCGTCCATTAAGAGATTCATCTCTGAGGCTTATATGCATTATATGCATTATGTGTGCAGCAAACCACGTTCATGTGAAGTAACACCCACATTACATATCGTTACATTGAAAAGTGTTTCACTGTATCAGAGTATGTAGGCTTACTGTGTGAAGAAAGCACACATGTATTGTCTATCTACATACATGTTTTACTGTTTTGGTGTAATTACATCTGAGCCATGTTCAATATGACATGAATCTCGAGAACAATGTGAATTCAGACGAGTTAAACTGTCTCCAGTTAGCTACATTACAGTGTGCATCTCAAGACCTACACTCGTCACAACAAAAGTAAGAAATTAATGGACAACAAACGTGTTATTCAATCAAGTGGCACCAGAAATTAATACCATTTCAGCACAAAAAACCTGACTACGACATCGAACTTAAGAAGTGTCAGGTGGCATGAGTGGCTCAAATACATAATCGTGGGTTCGAATCCCACATTTGCATTGATGATGACCATCATGAACACCGTGCCTCCGTTTCTTCGTATCAGCATAGCGGTAAGACTTATTTCCCATAAGGCACAGGTGTTAGCCAAGTCAGCAAGCCTGACCACCTGATCCCGTTAGTCGCCTCTTATGACAAGCATATGGGTCACTGAAGACCATTTCTAACCCGGATCTTCGCGGGTCTGGGCCTGGCACGCCTTATATAACTGAAATACTTTTTTAATATGGCAAAAGGAACAACCCGAAGAACACGATAAGCAAAGAATACTGGTTTGTTATGTAGAATTCACGTGCAATTTCCCCGTTCCGTACCTAGTATGGTGATCTACATTCAGTTGTTGGCAATCTATAGCCTGTTCTTACATTGTCTTGTCATTTCTAGTTAAAATATTTTAGATTTAATGTCTAGTTTTAATTGGATATCTGTGATACACTAGTAGTTTTACTGTTCTTCGTCAACAGGCTTTTATTTTATTTTTTATTGAGCTATAATTTAATTATTAATTGTTCTCGTCATGACATGGCTGAAATATTGCCGATGTGACGATAAATAATAACTGACTCACTCACTCTCCCCGTTCCAGGCTATCCGAAATACCACTTAATTTGTCTTGGTATCGAATTTCATAACTTTGTAGTTATAACTGTGTAATAACCTGACATAATTAAGTTAGACTGGCATTTACACATAAAATCCACATAGAATATCCATACGTATGTCATTAATTTCCACTCTCCTTCGTAAAACGAATAGACGAAATATGTATTTTGGATCTACAATAATAGCATTTGCATTCCAGATCAGTATTTGATGGATTCCAGGGAACTGTGCTGCGGCATCCGGATATTCACTCAACAGGTAACAACAGTTCACCTGCATGTAAGAAAATCCCTCGAACTCAAAAACATGGAATCACGATATTATGGCATCGTAAATGTTATAACTACATTATACAGAAACATCTCCGTAGAGAATAATATCCTTAACATTCAATCCATATAAATGTATGGTTACTTGTTAATCCTTCTCCGGAAACTGCAGTCTTGTCAAAATACCATTCCATCCTTCTGTTGACACGTGTGCAGTTGATACAAGAGAGTTGGGTAAAGTACATTTGTTTTCAAGAAGTTCTCATTTGAGACAAAGATCATAAAAATAACCCCCTTCGTGAATGACAAGATAAAACAGCCATGGATATGACAGAAGACATATTTTGAAGATGTGTTATTTCCACTATTTCTCTACGTTAAGTAGCCTCATTCCGTCCGAACAGCGCCGTCCCAACACTCGTGACTATCATCAAAGATAAATGCAGTTCGTGTACGGAAGACGTAAATGAGCTTGTGAGAGATGATGACACTTGTTCCAGTAGGTGTCTGCATAGAGAACGATGGAAATCGATGTGTATTGGGTTGTATTAGGAAGGGGCATTACTTCGAGCTAGAGTTGAATTCCACTGCCTATGTCTTTGGCAGCCTCTTCTGCAACACTTCAAACGACATCAAACGTCAAATGTCATCCATACGTATACTGTAAAACGAGAAATTTTCCCGCCTTTAAAATTTTGAGACCTTGATACCTCATCCGGGTCTGCGACGTGTTATTTTTCCGAGAGGCACCCATGTACGCAAAAATAACATTGTTCAGTTCAGCTCAGCTCAACTAAGCCGACCAAGGGGATTAAAGCAGATCAAAGAGACCAGATTAAAACAATCTCTAGTTAAGCCACTTAACGCTAGAGGTCTCAATCTGATGAACTCAGCTAGATTGGTAAACTCAGTGTCATAATGTTGTTATAGTACATGGTTAAATTTCGAGCTATCAGCCCGACTGTACACAAAGGAAAATGTTGCAGTTCGAAAGCGTGGAGATGGGACATTACCAGACCAATCCTTGGCAGAAACACCCGAGAAACGTGCCCGCATCATGGCTGCAAACAGTACCATTCAAGCCAGTATGGATAATACCCCACACACCATCACAACCAAACGAGGTACGAAACGGAAGCGTGAGAATAATAACTTCTCCCCTACGACTAGAGCAAAATTGCTAAATATGCCATCGACCATGGAAATACAAGAGCAGCTAAACACTTTAGTTCAGTATATCTCTAAGGTCTTAGAGACCGCCAAGTCCAACAATAATAAATTCATTGGAGCCTCATGTCTTTTTTTAAAATGGGAATCAAAGAACTTCAACTTTGAATTAAAAGTTATCGGAATCTGAAGAGCTACCCCCTCGTAAAATCCATTAAAATGTTGTAGTATATACTAGTATTACTTAATGTTAAGGTCAATCCAGATCGTCCATATTGCTGTGGTTCATCTTTTATCTCAACTGAGAAATGACATCTCTTGACATACATTCATACTGGAATGCCAAAATAATATATATACGACTCAAAACGTTAAGGACCACCCGATTCCTTTATGTTATGGGTGGTCCCTGAGTAGTTTATAACATAATTCAAACAGACAGGACAACCTGACTCTTTCATGACAGATTAACCGGAGTAAGCATTGCAGAACACGTGGCTTTCAAAAACTATTCATATTTTGCCATGATAGATTAACCGAAGTAAGCAAAGTATCAGATGGTCTTTAACTTAATAGTTAGGTCATCTTTGCAGGACGCTTGGCATTAAAATATAATTAGACCCATGGTCATTCAGCTATATTATGAAAGCGAACGAAACAGATTTATTAATTAATGATAACTGATTCGTTTTACAGACGTGCGTCACAAATCTGAACACGATTGTGTCAGTGTGAGAGAACAGATTTATTTGTTTGACATGGGTAAAACCGCTATTACCAATTAAGAATTTTATGACATAGATACAGTCCATTATATCGTTGTAGGAGGGAATATCATGTCTACCTAGACGAAATATATCAAAAGCTTTGATATGAAAACAACTATATGTGTTCGTGTTCGTAACATTTTTATGTTGTAATTTCACAGTAAATGATTTTGAACCCATAAATAAAATGGGTTCTGATCGCCTGTAAAGATCACGCATTTCTTTCACAATGAAACAATAATCATTGTATGAGATTTAGTGCCAAAATGAAAGAAAGCACTCACTTTCTGTTTCACTTCTTATCAGCACATCACCACACCCACGATGTGTTAATTATTTACACAGCTGTCGGAGGGGTGTATTGTATTTCTCACAAATTGTAAAGAATAAAGCGACGAATGATATCAATACGTTTTATTACTGCATATTGATATCAGTTAAATAACGGTATGTAACAAACAATACCTAAACGAACAATGTTTACATAACAAGTTATGTAAACATTGCATGCAAAGGAATAATAATTTCACTCATACTGCAAGATAAACGTGAAAAGGAAGTAAATGAAAAGATCAGTGCTTGTTATCTGTGATAATAACACAAATAACGATTTACAATAAAGTATTATCAATTCAAATCTAGTTACGATTAATACACGTTGTGTGTTTACGACGTGGGGTCCTCAAGGTCTGCATGATTGTTGCTGTGTTTTGTAACTCAATTCTACAATACTGATTTCTGATCGTGTGCCGACAAAACAAATCACATGGGTCAGGGGCTCTTCAGTTCACTTTCTGCTGTTGCGTTGTTTAGTGCGATAACCGTTGGTTCAAATCTTTAACTGGCTATAAATTCAGATCGTGATAGAAGGCACCTGTAAGTGTTCTGGGGTTTCACGAAAATGTAAATGTGAAGGTTTTACATGAGTTTTACACTAAGTGAGTGAGTTTAGTTTTACGCCGCACTTAGTAATATTCCAGCTATATGGCGGCGGTCTGTAAATAATCGAGTCTGGACCAGACAATCAAGTGATCAACAGCATGAAGATCGATCTGCGCAATGGGGAACCGATGCCATGTGTCAACCAAGTCAGCGAGCCTGACCATCCGATCCTGTAAGTCACCTCTTACGACAAGCATGGGTTACTGAAGATCAATAGTCTAGCCCGGATCTTCACGGGTCCCTCCCCACTAAGACTACACGTCGTGGTATAACCAGAAGTACTCCAAACACTGTTAACCCAGTTCATTGGTACATCCCAGGTCAATACATAGCTCTGTTAATGGCCTGCTTGTTGCCACGGTTTGTGGACTGTCGTGATCTCCATTGATCTATTTGTTTCATTAATTACTCCCAACCGTACACAAATGCACGCATATGTATGCATGTGTACGTTGTACATTCGACGATCGATGATACATCGATAGTTCCCAAGTAATTCGAGAATGTCAATGGTCAGATTATTTGTCTTTATGCATCTGGACAAGTGCATCCTGTCAAACCAAGGCACTGACAAAATGAAGTCCATATAATTAACTTAGTTTGTCTACCTCCCTTATACACATGAAAGGAAAAAAGAAATTCAACGTATCTTGATAACGGCTATCTTCAGAAACTATGGAGTGCAACATAGCAGTCTATATTTGCCTTTACGATGTCTCATGAGACGACGCAATTCGAGATTTGCCCTCTGGTGGATGATGAGCGACACTGAAGCATATTTGAATCACTGAAGGAGTAGTCTCGAAACCTGTCGACTTGACATTGGTGAAATCAACCTCTCGTTCTGTCTGTGATCTTTGCTTTACTACCTTAGAAGCGTTAAGGTATGCGGAAAGTAATTGGCATCTTCATTACACATTTCGAAAATATACACTGCTAAATAAAACTAAGTAGAAAGTATGCACGTACACGATACCAGGGACGTTTTCGACTTTTGTTAATAATTGATTGTTTGTGTTGAAAAGAGATGATTTAAATATTTTTGGAAATACAGTTGTTTTTCTGTAGGTAAGAAACGTCATCAGTGCCGTTTGAATGCCTAATGGAATAGTTCTACACTATTAAGACATGGAAGTATTTGGGATACTTTGTACGCTTTTTCTGGATTCGGCGTAACCAGTGAACGCTTAAACCACCAGGCTACCCTGTCACCCCTTGACCTACATCTTTTTGAGCAGACATGTATTCATCTATACTCTTATACTCTTTGCATGATTCCTGAAATTCTCATTAATATTACATTTAAAAGATCAAGTATCATGTTTTCGTTATGGGCTTACCTGTTCAGAAATGTCGATCTATTCTCTTCATGTTAATATTCTTCAGTAATTTTAGCCTAGTGACAGGCAAACATATTTACACATTACATAAATATTACAATAAATATGTTTATTGATGTTTGCCAAATGGTGCAATGTATTATTTTGACGTGCCAACACACAAGGTACACGACTCTAAGCATTGCTATGTCTAAAATCATCAACAAATGTTACATATATATTTTTACTGTTCAGCCAGACTTCTAGGTATGGAGCTAATTAATATAGATAGGTTTCATATTTATTGTCATAAGCAGGTTTATTGAATCGGTTTGTCGGAGCGATAAAATCATCGCTAGACCCTGCATCAGTTTAGGCTGTTCCCTCACATCAAAAGCAACAGTATCGTGCGAAAAGAGAAAAGCTAAAGTACTGAGGGCGAATTCAGTGTGTGGTCAAACATGCTGTCTTGGGTTTCTGGCATGCCTAACGGTCACAACTGTGGACAACGAATATAATTACCCGAGAAGATTACTCTAGGCTAGACGTCTGTGTGAAAAGTCGTTGACACACTAAAAGTAACCAACATAGTTTACACGTAATTTCTATTGAATCAGGTTTGTGTCTAAGGACTTGGTTTCAAGATACTGCGTGGCCCCTGTGACTAGGCGACTTCCCTTCAGGTGGATGTAAAGTAAACGATTACAGCAAGTAACTGTTTCCTTCAATTCATTTGGCCTGGTCTTTGTGTCACTGTTAGGATATAGATACTAGTATTATGAATCATACGTACACATGCATTTGTTGGAATCTTGTAAATTACATTAACGTGCTTTGTTAAAAGGGAAGGTGCTGTCCTCATTTAGGCATTTATTACTGACGGATTTCTCGTATTATGTGCCAACTTGATCGTTAGCTGAAATGTGTACCAGCAACGCTATAGCACGTGAACTAGTACTCGTCATGCAGTTGGCTCCTGTCACGATCTTGAATTTTCCTAATAGTATGGCCAAAAGCTGAGGGTTATGTAATTACTACA